ATACAAGTGAAGAAGCTCTCTGCAAAGCACCCTGAAAAAAGCTTCTTTTTTTCTCTCTCTTTATAAGTCAGTCAGTGTTTAATAGTAAGCTAAAATAAGCAGAGGTTATGGAGGCTGTACTGTAACACAACCATAACTGACTGTTAACTCACAGTGTGTATTTTTGTATTTGTTTTTTTATTGTATTTCTGTGCACTCTTTAATGTTATCTGCCTACTGTTGTGCCCACGCATAGTGATGGGTTTAGAGTATATCTATCTATCTACCCACCTACCTCTACCCTTCTCTATCTCTATATCTATACAGAAAGATCTGTCTCTTGTAACAAATGGACCCCTGCAGAAAAGATAGATCTGCATCATTGCTGTGTCAATCTGTCCTGCAGTAAGCGGCAACATGAGACAGAAAAAGTACTCTATGGGGAATTTAGGTTCTTCCTGCAGCTGGGGGCTTTTCTTGTCCCTAATATAGTGACGTGGAGGTTTCTACCACCTGTCTCAAACAAGACAGCAGTCAGTTTGCAATTCTCTTATATGGAACATCAGCTGTGAAACAAACAAACAATCTCATTAGACGACTTTAAATCTAATACGGTTATTAGGACCACCTAATTAATCCTACATCTTACATCTTTACAGTTTGGAAATAGACCACAGCATAGAAACACTACACAACTACTCACTGTATTTTTTTGGTGGGGGGTTTTAAGTTTTTTTTATATCTTTACCTCTATATTTTAACCTGGGGTGAAACGGACAGGCGCACCCTACTTAACACCCCCAAGGTCTAACTCAATCAACAACCCACTTTCTAACTACCAGACATGTTGGTCTGTCAAAAGGCTGTAACACCTTCACAAACAACTGACGTGCTAGATAATATTTTTGAGGCTGGCCTGGGGGCAGCATTAACTGGAGTGTGTCCTGACTCCACACAGTGCAATCAGGCTTTGAGGCCTGGAGCAGGATCTCCTTATACTGTTTGGACTGGCAGGTAAACAGTTGGCTTCCACCCATCCAGGATTTCTCTAGTAAAGGGGACCCTTGCAGCGAATAAGAGTGAGTCATCTCTACACCTTGGCCTGAGGACCCAACTGAGCACAGGATAAGAGGAGTCCGCCCAGGATATGCAAATATCACCACCACCCCCCAGTCTAAATACGCAGAAGTATGGAGGCAAAAGTAATTCAAGAAGGACTTGAAAGGTTTCCAGGTTGAAAGTGGAGGTAATAGGGCGCAGTGGACAAGTGAGAGTAAGAGATCCAAGACAGAGATATAAAGAGAGAGAGAGAGAGAGTAAGATAAATCTAGTTATCCTTATTTGATAGCATCAAGTACACACTGTGACATGCTTTCTCAAAATATTTAATAAACTAAATTTCATATTTTACGAAACGGCTTTGACGGTCGTCACAATTAGAAATGATGATTCTGGAAAGCAAGCTTTTGATGAGAAGGATCCCTACCACTTGAGGCCGCTAAAGGCTTTGAAAGACAAAGAGTTCTGCTCAAGTCAAATCTTTACTGGCCTAGTGTGGGGGGAAAAGGGGGGGAAAACACTTTTACTGATTCAATCTGAATCTGGGCCAATATGTCAGTGTAAAAGTTAAGATTGGTTTTAACCAGCTCTGCTCTTTAGAAATAATCTTCAAAGATAGGAATTTGTTGCAAAAAAAGTGCAAGACACCTGGCATACGTTTGGAATTAAAACCAATATTCTGGCACTCCCTTGCACATGCCAGCACTATTTTTTTTTCTCTAAATTAATGGATATACCAATGATCCGAACCAAGAGTTAAACTTCATTCACATTTGAAAAATCAATGAAGATGTGAATGAAATTGACTACGAAGGAAATGAGACTGCTGGTTGAGGGAAAAGCTTTAAGTAGGACCCATCTGACCCCTTTCAGGTTGAGTCACACACAAACGTCGGTACCACCACTCAACATTTCATCAAATGACATCTACAAAGAGCTCCTCGTCCTCGACACCCACTTACTCAGCAGTCAACCTTGAGTCATACCAACCACCTGAGAACTCTCACCTACTGTTTACAGAATCAAAATTGAGCTACAGAAGGAGCGTCTCACCTACAGCAGGTTAACACACACACATTTGTTTTTACATTGTCAACCTATTTTATCCACTTTTCAGAAAAGAAAATTTAAAAATCTGAGTGACATGCATTACTGCACATCCAAAGAATCCAACAGAGGAAGCAACGGGAAAATAAAAGCCAAAACATTCTGCTGGATGCAATATTAAACATTAACTCTTGAGCTTCCAAAAAAGCTGTCTGCATGGTTGGAAAATTGTTTATTATCAACCGTCTGACAGATAAGCACTGTGACCATAACACTAAGGTTGATTTTCAGTGACGTTACTGAAACATTAATCACACTGATCATCATCATCCAGCCTGATAAAGCAGAGGCCGCCAAAAAGGTTCAGTGAGTAAAGCATGGCAACCTGGAGAAGAGATGTGCAGTGTCTTACTATAACTTTAAAACAAGATTCACTAAAATTTAGCTAAATTATAGCTTTCCAGTTCTGCATGTTAGTCAAGCAGTTAGATATAGATAGGAGTGTTGCCTTTTTGTTGTACAAAGTTGATGAGTAGCATACGTGTCACAATCATAGTGTTCATTCTGTCTTCATTGAGCTAAAAGTCGATGCTATAAATATATTTGAAAAAAGGGCCTCCCTACACACTGGGAGAGACAGCGAATTACCATTATTCAACGACGCACCTACGAGTGATGGTGGAAGATCATGACGATTCAAACAGGTCAAATCTCTATTTAAAACGTGCAACTTTTTGTAAGTGTCTGTATGGAAGAGATGATGAGAGGAGGGCTCCTACACATTTTCCATTTAACATTCCATACTTTTCCAGACTTCTCTTCCAGAATTTTGCAAAACTCCCAAATGCTTAAATGAGATTAATATTTGGTCATTTGTGATACTACGTACAGTATATATGCAATTCAAAGATATTGCTGCATTTTCTCTCAAACTATTTGGTCACAGATGTCTGGAGTTGGAACAGTTATAAGGAACTTGGGGCAGAGCATGATTATTTTATTTTTTTAGCAATTCTGAATATCGGCAATAGTCTAGAAACACAAATATTTTTCCATACGCCCTTTTCTTTTCTCCATTCTTATCCGGACCTGGAAATTACTCAAATCAATTTCCATATTGCAGAGGAACCCTGTGAGTGAGCGCCTTCAGATGCATCCCAAAAGGAAAACTATTTTCACTTGAATCGGCCTGAAAATCTGTGGAATTGAAGCTTCCTTAACTACAGATAGTTACTGTAAACAGGTCAATTCTAGTATACAGATCAGTACCAAGTTGACAAACATATCCACAAACATCAACACTCAAGGTAACTCTATAAAGTGGTGACTCATGACTGAATAACTCTCTTTAAAAGATATTTCAGATTGATACATTTGCACAAAAACATTATATAATTGTTGTCATACATTTTTTTTTGATCCAAAACATGGATCTGATAAATGAACCAGAATGATTTCTGAAGCCTGCTGCAAGCTGTCAGATCACTGCTTTATGAGGACTTTTACAATTGTTAGCCTTCAACCTCCAGAGAGGACAACTCTTGCATTTGTTGTGCAGCTTTTTCCATTTGAATAAAGAGTCATACTCCACTCATTTTTCCTGTAAACATACTGCACCACAACAAAGCAGTAGTATTGATGGCAAGTCCAAATGCACCCACTTTCTTTTGACCACTTGTTGTGAGTAAAATGGTATTTTCCAGTGTTGGCACCACATCACAACAAAACAGTGTTAGTGCAACATGTCGTGCCTTGCAGAAATGCACAGCCTGTGAAGACACAAAATGATTTGATCTGTCAAAAGCTTTTGACAAAGCTGTGAAAGTTGAGAGACATGATCAGATTTTCCTACGTAGGTGGTGTAAAAGACACAGAGTAAGATGATCGGCTGCTGTGCCGAGTCGGTGTGTGTGCTTGGGGTGACATTTTCTCCAAGAGTGCAGCTTCCTGCTCAAACCCACACACACACGGACTCGCCTTAAGAGAGGAGGACAAAACTGTCACTGGACAAACCCAGCTGTTAATAGCACTTATTCATTTCTAGATTTTCACAGAGTAGAACTGCATAATGCTGTGGATCACATCTTCACTCACCAAACAGACCACAATATCCCTAATGCACCTAATCAGTAAGCAATCATCATGCTCTCAAGACTACACGTACACTGAGAAACCTGTTTGACTTGTCATTATTTCCACTATCTGCCCTTTATTATCAATCATTTCCCTCAGGCTTACTAGTCTATGTTTGACACCCCGAGGGTCCATTTCAGTCAGCTATCTGCACCTGTAAAGTTTTCACACATCTAGCCCTTCACTCAAATGTTCTCATATTTAAGACAACAATGAGGCAGAGCAATAGAATGACTGAACAATGACATTAGCCCTCATCATCTCATCCTGTCTCATAGCTACAATACAGACCAATGTCCTGATGAGAACAGTAGGAAAATACCCATTTTAGGGTTTACTAGGCAGTATATACAACAAGTCTCCTGACAGCTGTTGCTTTTAGTATATAATGTAAACTACCAAGTCTTAAGCAAACCCTTGTCCAATCTTAAGTCTCAAACATTCATTTCTTTAAGGGCAAAATTTTCCATTCAAACCAAAACCAATGACTCACAAGAAACTTTGGGCAAGCCTAAAAAAACATGCTTACACTTCACCAGATACATCATGCAGTTATCTTTCTAAAACATTTCACTTGAACTGAAGCCAATAGGTTATCTTCGAGTACTGTACAAAGCCATACTCTACTCATATTTCAGATTCAAACAGGGAATATGGCACTGTTTTAACTGGTAACATACAATTAAATCAATAAAACAACCCTAATAACAGATATTTTCACACTCAGAAACTCAAAAACACACCCACACACAACCACAGAGACATACCCGAACACAGGTGCATTAAGAGTACATAAATTCAGTCATCTTTATTTGAAAATTGACAAATTAACTTCTGGCATAGCTTGATGACACACCTAGTGTAACCATCGTAATACATTGTAATATTAAAAGCTTGTAAGAGCAGGAAAAACCTCTTTTACCTCTACTCTGAAGGCATTCATTCTGATTCATTGTGCACGCTCTTTATTCACAGTGATAGCACCCATAGTGAACTCATTTCTTCAACATTAAACACATCAATTCAAATGTCTGTGTCTGTGTGTGTGTGTGTGTGTGTGTGTGTGTGTGTGTGTGTGTGTGTGTTCACGCTCCCTCATGGGAAAATCTCCAGGTGTCCTCGAAACCAAAATGTCTACCCCATGATCTCAAACACAGGCAGCAGTAAACCAGTACAATGGTTAACTGATCCATATTCCAATAGCAGCAGCACACCTGCAAACAAAATCAACCTCTTTCTTCTTTTAAGGGTTCATGCAGCTCCAAACTAGAAAAGAGGCCACGCAAAAAGAGATATACTTTGAGTTTTCCCTGGCTAAGATTAAACTACTTTACTTTTATACAAAAATCTCAATTAAAAAGCCAATGGCCATCTAAGCATACAAAAATAAGACTCAAATTTAAAATGTAGAAAAAATGTTACAGTAAATGAGAAAAAAATTATTCTAAAAAGTTCTTAAAACACTAAACAAATGCAGAAATTTTACTTAGCTGCAATTTTCAAGCTGCCAGAGTGACTGAGTGGTTTTTTAACCTGTTTGACTTAAACATAATTGGTATGTATATAATAGCAATGCAAGGATTTCTTGTCTCCATTAAAAAGAGATACATAAATGCTGTAGGGATTCTAGCAGAATTCTATAAGCAGTGATCAGCAGCGAGTTTGTCCTGTTGTACTGTTGGTCCTAAAAGTTTATTTTCTCCATGACTGATTGTGAAACAGAGTTAAAAAGTATAATATGGACTGATGACCTTGAGTGCTGCATCTCTTTTAGTTTAGTTCAATCGGCGGAGCAAAGGCCACCAAAAAGGTTCTCGTCCCAATTTAGCACCAACTTGCACGCAACTGAATTAAGCACCTTTTATTTCCCCATCTACCTGGTGAAAGCTTTGCGCTGATTAGCATGGACGATGTCGTCAGGTGAAGGCGTGTCGAAGCGGAACGGTGCAATTGGCGAGAGCGGGTTATGGTGCTCTTTGGATTTGTCTTGAGATTTATACAAGGCGGCCTGGTAACCACTTCCTGTCCTCTGACCTCTGATGTTTCCCCTCTGTATATTCCGCATCCTCTTCTGTTGTCTGCAGCTTTTAACTGACAAAGTGAGTGCAAACACTGATGGTTTTGCAAAAACAGAAGAATCCAGCCCCATGGCGACTGGAGTTGGAGAGGATGGTGAAGGGAAGTCATCGAAGTAATGCGGGCTCACTCCATCTGACTGGGCCATGAGCGCACTCAAATCAATAGTCTGCCTCAGATTAGATGGCCTGGAGTTTTGATGGTATTGTTTGTGGTTGGGTTTACACTTGGTCCCACCCTTTATAGTACTTTCTGCAAGAACACCAGCGCTCTCTGGTTTTGCTGGTAAGAGGAGCGTGTTGAGAGAGTAATGTGACCCATTTGAGGTGGTTGAGGTTTTGCCTTTGTGTGCAGATGCCAAATGTGACAAAGAGAGCGGCTCAGAGACGCCAGGTGGTTGTTTCAGTGCATTTGCTTGAGATTCAGTGCTGAGGGGCTGAGGGGAAGCTAAGGAACTGTTGGTTTGATGCTGCAGGGCTAGCTGAGACAACGAGACCGCTCCACCTAAGCATGTAGGAGTAATGTTGGTTGGATTAGAAAATGTGAGCGAGTTTGCTGGTTGTTTAGTGGTCTGTGATTGAATGGGTGTATTCTTGTTTTGATGCTGTGAAGCAAGCTCAAACAGCGAGAGTGCTTGTGCTTGTGTAGGCATCCCCTGACACTGCACAGAAGTTATGCTGCTTTGGGGAGTAGGGAAGGAGTTAGGATTCGTTGGGCTGCGGTTTGAATGCTCTTGGATTAGATCAGCCAATGATGGGCTTCCCTTAGGATCAGCTATTGTGGCTTTGACTCCAATCCCAACTCCTACTGAGTGCTGAGTGCTCTGGAGGACTGAACTCAGACTCCCAAACCCAGGAGGAGCAGCCAGAGAAGAGCTTGCAGCTGTCATCTTGGGGTTTTTTAGCGACAGACTACTGAGTGAAACTGGAAGGAGGGAGGGAGCTGAGCTTAGAGATGCTGAAGGCATGTTTAAAGATGCCAATGTTCCCAACGAAAGACTATTCTGATTAGGAATAATGGACGGTGGTGAATTAGGTCCTATGGTTAGAGCACTTAATGAGGGAACACCCAAACCTCGCCCTATGTCAACTACTCCTGACGTCTTACTCTTCTGCACATGCTCAGACATGAGCTGTGTCAAACTGGTACCACCAACATCTGGACCAACATTTGGACGGCTCAAATTTTGATATTCAGAACCGCTAACCACTGGGTCAGCGTTATGTTGCGATAGGAGGTCACGCAAGTTTGGTGCACATGCTTGCGCGCGTGGTTGTGCATGTTTGCACCCATCAGTCTGAGGTTTATGTTGCTTGGATGTAATGTCTGTCTGAGAAGCAGACAAGCAGGCTCCTTACCTTACAAAAGCCAATTGAAGTTGTCGAAGAGGAGAGAGATGGAGGACCACAGAACAGAAGTCAGATGAATCATACCATAAACAGGAGGGACAAGAGCAGAAAGAGGGCACTTTGTTAAACATTTGCATGACTCAAACAGATGGATGCCGCTGGCTGTTGTCAAGTAGATAATATTAATGAAGTTATTTGAAATTATTTTTTATTCGAGTCAAAAATGTCAGGATACAGTTTTAGATATTTTCAGTATCACCAAGTTATATCATCAATCGTTCATCCATCCATCCAGGACCGTAGAACAACAGTCCAGTTCTTATTTATTAACCTAGGCTAGGCTCTCAGCCCTGTTTTATAATAATGCCCTTATTAAAGTTGGCGACATCAAAACCCATAACCTTGCTTTTTGGGCAATTTCTCCATTCTCTTTCACTCTTCACAGTACTGACAGCTTCCTTCTTTGTATTTACAGTGCTTTAAACTGATAAGATCTCAGCTCTCAACCGGACTGTAAAAGCCACACGTTGATCACTTCACTGTTACCTATTCTTTAACTACATTGTTGTTATCAATTATTCTTAACTGTATTATTCAAGATGTAATTACAAATGCTCAAATGTGAGACATTCAAAATCACTTTACTAGCAATGTCTATCTATACTGAACTATATGTAACTGTGGATCAGGTGATACAATTAATTAATTATTATTCCTATCAGTAGTTTCATAACAAGAAACAAACCCTTATTATGCACTTCCTATGAAACATCTCAATCATTTGTTTGGCAATTAACTTATGAGTTTTCAAATGCCACCAACAACCATTTCTTTATATGTACCTATAATGATCAATAAAATGACAATCATTTGATCCACTTCGGGCGTACCTTTCTCAGCCACGGCCTCTTGTTTGGTTCTTTGTGGAAGCGGTGCTTTCTCTTGGTTAACTCTTGCTATGGAAGTCGTCTCTTCACTGGTACTTTTGGTAACTGCAGCTGTCTTGGTGTCTTCAGACAGGACTGCATCCAGTGCCTTCTGTGGGTCAAATCCACATCTTATGGCTGCCTGGGTCAGGACAGAGTCTGGCACTGCATCTCCCAGCACAGTCCGCATGTGGTCCAAGCAGGAATACAGCTTGGCTACAGAGTACAACAGACATTAACTCAGACATCATATTTGTGACCCAGAAAACAAATGACAAGACAAAAACAATAGAAAATGGAAAATAAAATTACCAACCCAACAGGATCTTAATGTCTTCAATTAGCACATTTTCAAACTCAAAGCTCAAATAGTACCTTGATCAAGAGGGTCGAGGTTGTGGCTGATTGTAGGGGACATAGGTACAGACTCATCTTCATATTCTTCCTCTTCTAAAGGCTCCTCTTTTGGTGCTTGCCTTTCTTGACGGGAGTAGATGAACTGATTCGCTGTATAAACCAAAAACATCTTTACTTAATCGGCTTATTCTTAAGTTAAACTAGGAGATGTGATGCCTGGATAATAGTGTATAGTTTAAGTAGACATTTAATCACATCAATCTTTTAATGAAAATGTAAAAACAACTGATACCAACCTGTTGCTGGTGATATACAGCAGTAGTCATCATCTACAGACTGTCCATACATGTCATCATCGTCAAAGTCTAGAGAGAAAATATAATTGAGGTTAAAAAAAAAATGTCCCTTTCTAGTCTTTACACAGACAGACACATGGACAAATGTGGCTGCAGTAAAGAGAAACAGTCTTTTGTTACAGCTGTCAGTTTGCCTTGTCAGCAACTTCACAGAAAGCATAACAAACCGCTAACTGGGAGTCGGGTCGCTTTTATTTATTTTATTTTATTAACTACTTCACATTAGGTTTGACAGCGTGGGAGGCTTTAATACGTTAATACAGTCAGTGGATGCCAATATACCATGTCCAACGATGAATTAAAAGCTTGTAACATTTCTTCCAAATCACTGAAAAGTTAGCAAGCTAGCTAAGCAGCTATCGACTAGTAAACATAAACATTAGCTACGTTAGTTAGAGTCACATCACGTCAAGTTTTATTATTATAACGTTAACCTGAACGCTTGAGATACTTGTATTACAGTGCAATGTATCTCGTACCGGGTGCCAAGTGACACGACAGCAACGTTATCTTGCCAACTAAACCAGCTAGCGTTAGCCGCTACAGCTACAATCAACAACAGTGAATGTTAGCTTAGCGGCTAACCAGTTTAGCGGTTTGAGGCCTTGCCTTGACGTTTTCAAACCGTCACCAACACCTGGTTAATCTACCTTCATCGTAGTTGTAACCTCGAACATTTCTGTGCCGAGACATTTTTGCTTATGTGTCTTCTCTCGGCCCCCAGGGTAAATGTTTATCGGTTCACAGACTGTTGTGACATGTGTCTCACTGCCCGGCTGCCGTCGCCGCCGCCGCTGCTCCTGCTGCTGCTGCTGTGTGACGTTACAGCAGTGGGCGGGGCTGGGAGGGTTACTTGAAAAAATGTAACCATGTATCACGATGTTCAAGTAAAGTTACTTGGTCACTTTACGTTACTTTTGGATTACCTGTGTAAATAAAAAAAGAAGAGAAAATAAATGTCATTAAGAAGTGTTGATGCAAGTATATTGTCTAAGACAACAGAACAATGAAACCTTTTTTAAAAAAAAGAAAGTGGAGATGGAAAAAAAGGAATGGAAATTTTAAAAAATGGAATAAAGAATGTGACCTCTAAATAAACTGATGTTTTTTAAAATTATAATCCTGCTAAATAATCCCCTTTTTTTACTAAATGTAACTGTAATCTGATTATGTCTTTTAATAATAATAATAATAATAATACATTTTATTTACAGAGCACTTTTAAAGAAACTCAAAGACACTTCACATAAGTTAAAAAGGAAAAGAAAAGGGTAATTAAAAAAACACACAAAGAAATATAGCTATATCTACAACACTCAACTCAACTTTTTTTCTATGACTATAAAGGATTACAATAATCGAGTACAGTTACACTTTTGGTATCCCGATTATGTAACTTAGTTACATGTAATCGATTACTCCCCAAACCCGGCAGTGCATGGGCACATCAGATTAGTTTCTGCAGCATCAGAAATAGATAAAATACTTAAAACAAATATTTAATTATACCGTATTTGTGTCTTCTGAAAAATAAACTTGTTTTCAGTCCATTTTTAAGGGGGGGTGCTGACAACCTTCTGTCACAGTTACACCAATGTGGCCTGAGATCAGATCTCCCAAACAAGCTTCACAATTTGCATTCTGTTTGACAGAGAGAAACTGACTTAGAATCAGTTAATGCTTACAGAGCTTATTATCAGCAGCTGAATAATACATGTATATTAGAATGACTAAGATCGAGAAATATAAGAGATGTAAGTTTCATTAGTACAGAGCAGAATGAAGATCTATTGATTAGGGAACACAGTAAACAGTAAAAAGGGGGCCTGAATCTGTCATTAGTCCTGTTCTTACAAAAAGTGACCTTCATGACGATAATGGTCAGGGTGGCTGGGGTGACAATGTGGATATAGTTGACCTGCATGCAGTCAACCACTGTTCTCTTTTATGTGTGAGGAAACACAAAATTCATATTCATGCTGATGTTTTATTAAATTAAAAGGGGAGGCACAGTATAACAGATGAACAAAGACAAAGTGGTTAAGAGACTTTTCCTCTCTGCACAACCAAGAGAAATTATTTCAGTTTAAGAGGTCGAGAGCTGTGCACTGAAAGCACATGAGAGAGTCTGCCTGCACAAAACACCCGTACATCTTTCAAACCAACCTATGATCTTGGGGTGTGAATATCTAAACCATTTTTGTCAAAGGTTATGCCCTATGGTGAGAGACCAACCCATCCAAGCCTACACTCAACACCTCGTACAAACACACACACCCAATGAGTGACATCACTTTTTCCTACAATCTATGTACCACAAGACACTTATAGTCTGTCTACCACAAAAGGGAAAGAAATAAGATGTTTGCACCACTGCGTGTGCTTGTGTTTGTGCTTTTGTTTATCTTTGACTTGGTCTTTGCATATCTACATGTGTGCAGGTGTATGCATGTGTGGTTTCTGATACAATAAGTTATTCTGATCTCATCTTCAGTACCCTATGTGCTAATGAAAGAGAAGATGATGAAAATGTCAGAGAGTAATTTGACGCCAGTGATGCAGGTGAAGTATACACTTGCACATCTGCACGGTGAAATGAAATATGAGGTTTGGCGTGTCTCCCCAATCTAAAAATAGAGCAGAATAAAGAAAGACGTCTGCTTAGGTAATTGTAAAGACCTTTTCACAATGCATGGCTCATATTTCAACTGGCAGTTTGACAAAGAGCAGCTTTAATTGGCAGAGGTTAGTAAGAACAAGAAGGGGATTATTCATATCAGGAGGGGATAGTTTATAAGTTTATTATTTATGCTGCCTCAAGTTTTACCTGAGTGTGTGTCTCTAAGCGCGTGTGTGTGTTTGTCTAAGTGTGTGTGGGTGGAGGTTTCCCCTCTAAAATTCCACTTCCTGCGTTTTGAAGTCTTAGTTGTACATCTACATGTCAAAATAAACAACTGCACATGCTCACATGGAACACATGCACTCAGTACAAGTAAACAGACACAAACATGCTCACTTTACAGGGTCACACAGGTGACAGAGAAGGAACTCTTCCTTTGCATCGCTAAAATGTTTCTAGGACATTTCAAAACCAAAGGCAGCAGATAGCACCTGATATGAAATGGAAATGGAACATATGAGTGAAAAGTGAAAAGTGATAAACAGTCTCAACATTAAACCTGCAGTGGTGATAGGCTGTTTGTTAGTGTGTTTGGTTTTGAAAAAGGCAAAATTATATTACAATTATAAGTGTTTGCAGCTTTTCTCTTGCATTGTCCAACAAACACCTGATTCATACCATTTAGCTCAGTGTGAAATCAAATAAATGTTGTTGTTCTTTTGCTTGTTTCTTTTCTGGGTTCGTACCTAGTCAGATTTAGAGATGAATTAAATATGCCTCTGTGCAGCAACAAGGCAGAGGTGTGACTTTTCACACCTCTAAACCGGATGTGAACATTTGTTTCCTTTGAATGTCTTTTAAGAACTCTATGGTCAAATCTGTGCTGCCGACATTGCCACAGAGTTCAAGGAAAGTCTGATCAATGAATCAGTGGCAGGCGCGAAGGGTTTGTGAGAGAATTAATGGTGGGCTGATTAGATGGATTTAACAGATGGATGGACAGATTGCTAGAAGAATGAGCGGATCAGTGGATGCGTGTTTTGTTTGAATGATGTACAAATTATATCACTGAATGACTAATACACTTCATGTTTTGCATCCATTATTATTTTCTCTGTAATTGAATTAAATTAAATTTTAGGAGAAGCACAAGATGGTTGTTATAATTTGGTGGCAATGGTATCTACAGAATCAAGTGAAAGCAAAGGATTGCAAATCTCTCAACAACAGCATGTAAATCTGAAAACAGATTAATCTTGGTGTAATCGTAGAAGACAAAGCCTATGTGCAAGTGGGTGAGGGGTGAAGTCCATCCCAGAAGTTGGCAGTGAGTATGAGGCAATGCTTTACATAATTTGCCAAGGGCACCATGGCATCATGGGAAGAGCCTTTCACAGGAACTCACCCCCGGGGAAAATGCAAAACCTACACCCTTGTCTTTGACAGGTGGTCCAAACAACTAAAGCCAATAAAGAAACACATGTCAGAGTGACATGTTGTGAAATTAAAAGGTAATCATTCTTAAATCACATTAAAGACATTGTATATTTGCTTGACTCTTTCCATAAAGCATTTAAATATTCTTTAAAAAATGATTTCTGAATAATGATTGCTGGATTTTAATGTACTGCAATGCAGAACAATGCAGGAATCCTATGTACGTATATACATTTATAACCAGTTATTAGCAATTGGTCAACATGTGGGTTTATTTAACCACATAACCATAGAGGATCACATTCACTACCTATTTGACTTGGGATCAACCCTTCCCCAATACAGGCTTTTACATACACAGACACACACACTCTCACACACGCAGAGAATTAACAATACACATGTTTGGCCTTCCCAACACTGGATTTGAAAGCCCGGTGGGGTGATATCTCAAGCCCAGGAGCCATCATTAAAAATCATTCAAATGAACCAACCTGTGCACACAATGCTTTGCAAAGGGGGCCGCCATCACAATACCTGCCCTTAACCTGTCCAATCGCGCCCATGCAAATGTCCTAAGTCAATGGGAGTCAGGCTTCCTGCTCAAAGTACTATAGGGGAATTTGCATACCCTGGCTCCCTTCCTTCAATTTGGTTTCAGATAACAAAATGTTGTTTTTAATATTACCCTCTAGGGAAAAGACACTTTGGGGGCTTGTGCAGAGAAAACCTGAATTCTTACAATACATACTTATTTAAACAAAGTGGAGACAAAATTCCATATATTTGTGTAACTATATGAATTATGATTTAGGTCCTTTATGTTGTTTTATTTGCTACTGTGTTATTAATGTTGACACTGGTTATTACTGATGTTTTCTTGGGGGGGGGTTGTGCGGTATCTCTGACCTTCTTTCTGTGTGGGGCATCGTGTATTGCAATCCTGCACGATAGCTGCTATATAATTAAAATTTGATTTGAATAGATTAGAAGTACCACCTCCTCGAGGCAAAAAAAATGTCTGGAACAATGCTTGTGTGCACAGGTGTGTAGGATTTAAAGGCTACAGGTGATTGCAACCAGGCAACCATGTGATACATTATATCACAGGCCTGCAATTAGATGCAGTGGCACTAAAAGTAACACAGCTTTAATGTCACACATGTGTAGCCTCTGAACAAACAAAGCTATTTGAATCATTAGGTTGTAAGAATAATAAAGCACACATAACAAGTTTTAGAAATAGCTGTCTTGCTGTACCTCATTTAACACATGTCCAATCCTGTAAATCTTTATATTTCTATTTGTCCAAGTGCTTCACTTCACTGAGCACTCTGTTCACACTGTTAATTCAAATAGTAAAAGTTGCAGTCCATGGTCATGTGTGTATGTATGTGTGTGTGTGTGTGTGTGTAGCCCTTTATCAGCCCACTATTATGATGACTGCCCTGGGACAATAGGCTGGTCTGGGGTGATGATAATTACAAGTGACCAGGACAATACGGTCGCGTATGGAGGAACTAATACAATGAGAAGACACATTTATACAAATAAAGCATTTGCACCCCCCTCCTCCCTGCAATGAATGGCTGAGCGGGGGACAGTCCTCGCGCAGGGAGGATGGAGAACTCAACCAAAACAAAATAATAATAATAATGATAATACATGGTGGTCAGATGGTTTAATACAGTCTAATGCAGAAGTTATGCAACACAACTGAGCAAGGAGCATTATTATTACTCATCTTGACAAGAGGGTTGCTGAACGGGCTCCACT